ATACATACTGTAAAGAGAACATTGATGGGAAGTGCGTCGAGTTTATTTATTGACGTCCTGCTGTAAATGATAACCGATATACAAAGACTGTAGTTTAAGACAACTTTTAACAGACATTAGAACCGTTTCTAGCTCATTATTATAGCCTGGTTGATCCACTTCAAATCGTTTGCCAACGTCAACTAATCTTGTAATCACTTTTAACCAATACTTATATCACCTATATGTATCGGTTAAAATAATGATGATAACGATATCCATATATTTCTATATAGTATTCGTTTTTGTGGGATTGCATTTTACTTGACAAAATGTAAACAATATGAAAGCAAATTGTATATGCATATGTGTGTAGAGTTTACAATATGGTATACATCTGCACGAAGCAATTGATTTAGCGCACGTGCAATTCAAGAGATGATTGTTGCTCAAAAAATGCCTTGCGAAACGATTTGAATACGATCCGCGAAGTGTGTACATATATACGTAAGGTGCATTAATGTCGTTCGTGAACGTTCAAATGGAAAAATGAGATTTTTGTTGTGTAGAACAGTTCGTATTTGTAAATTGAAATATCGGGATTGTGTTTTAAATGAGATATTACCGAGTGATCACGTCCGATAAAAACGTACATGATTCTTTTGTCATTGTGAGAATGTTAATTTTGATAGGTGGCAGAGATTGATTCTTATTACCGTAAGTTCATTACAAGAATGATTAAAAACTGATACACTGGAAATTTATTTACACTTTCTGAACTCCTCCATCGGATCGCTTTGCTAAAGCTACCCGTAAAATATTGACAGGCTCGACCAATATCAGAGAGCTGTAAAAGTCATCCGCGTTCTACAGAGCAAAAAGTCGCTTGATTACTCATGATTAACGCCGCATAACTTGTCTTCTGTCTAGTTGCTCGCGCAAGATCAATCATGACATTGGTCGAGTCGTGAAAAAAACAGATTATTTATTCCTGTTTTCTTCTAGCTAGTGTTTTCATCTATGTCGGATGAATGCGTTATAAACAGATCTTTCACTTGATATCAACAACATTCACGATCAAGCAACTTTCTTTCACTTTTTGTAACAACCACTCACATACCTCTTATACACGATCTCAAATGTATTGACTTGTTGCAGGGTGGTCCATTTAAACTGGAACCACTCGCATCGCATTAATTAATTCCAGTGAGAGTTTGTACTGTTTATTGCAGTTTCCAAGATCTGAAACTTCTTATACTATTTGTGTCAGAATCCTATTTAGTTGAAGTTTTCTTTCACTGTTACCACAGTCTTGACAACTGTGTATTTTCAGTCTTGTATGGTTAATCGCAATCATTCGCCAGACCGTGGAAGAACGTTTCAATTAATGACTTTGATTTTTATCTTAATAACTGTAGCAGGAACGTATAGTTGTATGCTCTGCCTGTAGTTGGGCCTTACTTGCTCCCAGAACTCAATGTTGATAGATTGAGAAACAGCTTTTGCACACATCGTGTTAGTTAATACTTTATCGACTTGCTACTGCTATTTTGTCTGATGACAATCAGGAGGAGGGAGAATGTGTGAGTGGTTCTACATTCGGAATCGCACAGAGTGGAAGGAAGAATTTGTGAGTTATATACTACAGGTTGCCATTCATTCGATGAATGAAGGTGGCGATGAAATGATGATGGTGATGCTTTATGATATATGGTAGTGGTGGCAGTGTATAGTGACGATTATATGATGATGATGATGATGATGATGATGATGATGATGATGATGATGATGATGATGATGAGATGAGGATGTTGATGGTGAATAATGGTGATGAGTTTGATGATGAGGATGAGGATGAGGATGCGGATGATGGTGATGATGCGGATGCGGATGATGATGGTGATGATGATGATGATTATGATTATGATGATTATGATGATGACTGGAAGTAGAGGAGAGGCATGGAAGCGTCTACTGAAACTTCGAAACAGGTGATTACGAACTGAAATTACTTACAATAGTATGGGTTTTGTGTCATCGAAATCCAAACACACTCACGCAAGGTCATACACGATATTCGCAGCTTCTCATAATCTAATGGTCCCGCTATTACTCAAACACATCCGAATATTGCCTAATTTCCTTTAGATCCTTATCAATGCTGGAGCACCGAAAAAACAAAGAAAAACAAAAAAAAGTAAGAAGTTGCATCGGCGGTTAATCGTCGATTGATAGAAATTTGATTCACTTGAGATCCTGTTTATCGGATAAAACAGTTCTAACTTATTAATCGTTCATTCATCTGCTATTAACCGAAATTTTAATATCGCTTCCAATAATTTCTTGTGTCGAAGCATTGTACAATTGTTTTAAAACAGAAACACCTTGTGCTACTACGTTTATAAAGTGCTACAGTTTTTCTTGAATCGGGTCTCTCAAACGATTGCATAATTCTTCGAACAAGGTGTACTTTCGAGCTCTCACGTTGCACGTATTTAATTAGCAAGATAACGCAAAATCTGATGAAGTAGACCATCATACACGTGGTTCAACCGGAAAAAGAATTATGCGCAAGAAAAAAAACATTCGCTACTGTTATATCCGTTTTCTTTCCGCATTAGAATTACATTGATTACATTAAATACGTTGTGTCTTCTTCGATGTACATTAATTATGTTTTTGATTCTGTTCAACAGCTCATTGTCAGTTGACTGAAATACAATGTGCGAACTTGCATGGATTTTTTGTATGCAACTAGTTCCGCTTAACAGCAAAGTGATCCGCTAAACAATGAACTGCAAACGAAGAGAAGAAATATGAAGGACGGACAATAAAGATAGATGAATTTTGGGAATTTCATGGAAAGTATAAACAGGTGGTTTGAGAATTTCTCTTGTAAACTTACTGTTTCTATATTTCGTAATCATCGACGGTTTCTTTTTCTCAACGAATTTAATTCCTTAATATTTTTTGTTTTTAGATCATTCTTGCTGCAACAATAAATAATTTGACCACGAGGAATTGTGAACCACGTCGCATTTCAAATATATTGCTCACCTAATGATAACGCTGGGAAATACTAATCTTCAACTGATACTGGGTGTGTGTCAAAGGTGTATTAGATTATTCCTTGATATTACATTGGCGCTGGCTTCTGCTGTGCGAAATCTACGGACAGAATAAACACGATTACAAAGGAGATATATTATTGTAGAGCTGCACAAGCATGGAAAATGTTTATGAAATGTAACAAAAATTCTGCAATAATTTACTGCAGACTCACACTATTTTAAGAAACAAATATAGCTCCCACCAAATGAGATTATTACTTGTGTAATGTATCTTTTTCGTGATTTCCATCTGTCTGACGTTCTTAACTTTCAAATATATCATCTAAAAATAAATGCCAGTGAAAATGAATTATCTTAAAGACAACCGACAATAATAATGTGATTATACATTTGCACATATACATATTTTATTGAAATGCTATGAGACTATTAGCATGTTGATTATACTGTAAGTTCTTTCCCTTCAAACGATTTTAACTGCCCGCTACGCAATGATTGTTAATGTTGTCTAATAAAATGTTGTGTAATCTATATACAAGGAACTGTTGATAGGAAACAGGAAGCGTCACTAATGCTCCATTTGCGTAAACACGGACTTCTTAGTCTATGCGGATAATAATCATGGCAACAAAAAATATATTTCTTGATCTAGCATAATTTTCTTACTTTACAGATAACTCCATACAGAGTGGGTAATGATACTATGTTTTATACATTAAAAGTCAATGGCAATAAATTAAGCGACAAAAAATTCGCTTGCTTTTAAACATTTTTCTATGATCTGTACCCGATCGAATATTATTTAATAAAAAGACTTTATCACCGTTTGGAAACGCTTAATTATTTTATTTACTATATGTGTTTGTAATTTAACATGATTTAGCAGTCTAATCAGTACTGTTCAATCTCGTTCGATTAGAGATAAATGAATTGTACTTCAATTCATGGAGAATGAATTTGTAGAAATTTATTAAAAACAGATTAAGTAAAAGATACCGCAGCCCAAACGTTTAAAAACTAAGAGATATATTAGTCCGAAGTTGGTTATTTTCAGAATGAAACAATGAACGGGAGATGGGACTAGATAATTAATCAGTTCCAAAAAATGAATATTTATTGCGTAGTACCTTGAATTTATCATAGTCATCAGGACGCAAGCTTACGTCACGACAATATCAACCCAAACATTGAAATACAAGAAAAACGATAAACTATCGGTAAGTTAAATCAAACAGTGACATTTGTCGCAATGTTTTGTATCATTGCAAGAATACATTGTCGTTACAAAATAAGAACGGAAGAATCGGACATGTGCATATATGTACATAAGTTTAACAGCTGTAGCCAGCTTTAGCTTTCCAATTCGTGATTCGTTTTGTAACGGATGTACCTTTGAGTTGAGTGTGATCGTACATGTACATATTTATTGATTTGGGCATCGCCGTATCAAAGTTCATTGGCGTAAGATTACATAAACAAAACTGGTTTGGTGATTTTGTACTTTGATCGGTTATTAGCGGGATACTGATGTTTGTGCACGTAGAGTGCAGACGATATAAGACAATTCGATGATCAGGTTAGAGTAGGTGAAAGCACGGGAATCAGAGACTGACTCGTAGCGAAATGCTTGCGATACGTGGTCTCGCTGCTGTTTAGCTGATTCACTGCCAAGTATTGCCCCACCACCTGTTCACCTTAACGAGCTCTGAAACTGGACGCAGAAGACTCAAGACCGTCGTAGAAGACGGTGTAAATTTTGTAGTCGTACTTAGAGGCTGATCAGTTGGGAATGGCGCCGATGCTTAGTAAATTCGCGACCAAGCGTACAGTGGCTGGTGCTTGTGCGCTCACCGCGTTGATATGGATCCTAAAAAGAAGAGGCAGAAAACAAGTCACGAGAAATAAGTAAGTAGATGGGACAACCATGTGTGTACAAGACTCAACTTGCTCAGTCTCGTCAAAACACTCAAGACGATTGTTTGTTTTTACAGGAACGCGTGGCCCTCTCATGATATACAGTATGTTATCAAAGAGGTAAGTGCCAAATGAATCTGTAACCGTTAAATTAGTACTAATCCACTAGTTGTACCAATACAATCCAATTCTCAGGAGAAACCAAAGAGTCCGAAAGCTTACGTCAATGCCAAATTTTTCAAACAACTACGTCAACTGCTCAGAATTGGTATACCATCCGTTGTGTCTCCAGAGTTTGGATTTGTTCTTCTTGTTGCTGGTTCCTTAGTGGCAAGATCCCTGTGCGACCTATGGATGATAAACATAGGAACGTTAATCGAATCGTGCGTACAATTAGTTGCTGAGAAAAACCCAAGTCTTTCAATTTATAAGTTACAAGCATTGTGTTTCAGGTCGATCGTTAATATGGATGCACCTCTATTTAAGAAGCGTTTATTTAAATTTTTGTCTGTATTGCCTGTGGTAAGTGAGTATATATATTGTGAATAAAGTATGCAGAGCATTGCTTTTGTAGGCTGCTAATGAAATTCTTTCGTTCAGGCTGCCAAGCAGCTAATTTTCTAATCGTTTGGAAGATATTATTGATATGATCTTCCATGACTATATTTATTTAGATCTCTGTTGTGAACAACGTACTGAAATATGGAATATATGAAATGAAGTTGAGGCTACGCACGAATATCACACGAAATCTACTGGACCAGTACCTGAAGTGAGTGGAACCAGCCAAGAACAATTATGAATAATGCATTTGATTTCCCAAACGTTTCAAATTCGAATATATTACTGGTTATTACAGGGGTTTTACATACTACAAAATGAGTAACTTGGACAGTCGAATAGCAAACCCAGATCAGCTTTTATCTACCGACGTCGACAAATTCTGTGAAAGCTGCACGGATCTTTATAGTAACGTCGCAAAACCGTTATTGGACATATTTATTTATGTCTATAGATTGACGAGCAATCTTGGTGGTCAGGTATGTTAATTCAGCGATTCTTGAGCACGCCTGTTCACGCTTTCTAAAATATCTGTTCCATTATAGACACCAATATTAATGCTGTTCTACCTTCTCTTTGCTGGTACTATGATTACGCATCTTCGTAAACCGATCGGCTCGATGACAGTGAAAGAACAACGTCTGGAGGGCGAGTACCGTCACATTAATTCCCGACTAATTACGAATTCTGAAGAGATTGCGTTTTACCAAGGAAACAATAGAGAGAAACTAACGATACTAGCTAGCTTCTATAAACTAGTAAGTAAACAGTAGAATTCTCGCGGACTACCACGCTCGTGTTATATTTACCTTTCGTTTTACAGGTGACTCATCTCCGAAAATGTTTGGAATTCAAAACGCTCATAGGAGTGATTGATAATTTTGTCGGCAAATGTAAAGAACGACTTACTTAGATACATTTTCACTTACAGGCATAATACCTGAAAAATATTGAAAATATTTTTCTTTCAGACATGGCAACGATCGTAGGCTTTTATGCGGTCAGCATTCCGTTCTTTCAGAAGAACCATCGTGTCCTGTCAGGATCGCCTGATCATCGATTCAAGAGTTACTACACGTATGGGCGGATGTTAGTGAAACTAGCGGAAGCTATAGGCAGATTAGTACTGGCCGGAAGAGAGCTGACACGGCTAGCAGGGTTCACAGCTAGGGTTACAGAAATCAAGGTCGTCTTGGACGATTTGAACGCGGGCAAATACTCTAGGACAATGATCACAGACTTCAAGGAGGAATCGATTGGAAGTCCGGGCGCGGGGAAGATTCTGACCAAAGATAACATTATACGTTTCGATCGCGTGCCATTGATAACGCCGAACGGCGATGTTCTTATCAAAGAGTTAACGTTCGAGGTAAGCTCGGGAATGAACGTGCTAGTATGCGGACCTAATGGTTGCGGAAAGAGCTCTCTCTTCAGAATTCTTGGAGAGGTACGTTATCGACATTTATCATCACGCCATCTAACCGTGTCCAAATTCTCCGACGGTAATGTCTGACCATTTGAAACCGTTTACCTGGGCAGTTGTGGCCAGTTTGGGGCGGAACGGTGACCAAACCACCGCGTGGAAAATTATTCTACATACCGCAACGTCCTTACATGACCCTGGGTACGCTCAGAGATCAAATTATCTATCCTCATACAAAGGAGGAGATGATAAGGCGCGGCAAGATGACAGACGACGACCTTGTTAAACTATTAGATCTGGTTCAACTAGGCCATCTGTTGGAAAGAGAAAATTTGACAAACATTGAGGGTCAAGGGTGGGACGTTGTCGCCGATTGGATGGATGTCCTTTCTGGTGGTGAAAAACAACGTATAGCGGTAATACCTAGTCTCCTCTTCGTCTATATAAAGCTATCCTGTGATTGGTGATTGACCGGGTGTCGTTCATTCTGCAGATGGCTCGACTCTTCTATCACAAACCACAGTTTGCAATTCTGGACGAGTGCACGAGTGCAGTCAGTGTTGATGTCGAGGATTCGATGTACTCTTATTGTAGGCAGGCGAATATCACTTTGTTTACAGTCTCGCATCGACGGTCCCTGTGGAAGCATCATGAGGTATCAATCACTGAGTCAGGAGAGTCAGGTGTCAGGTGTCAGGAGTTTAACTCAAAGTCTAATTGCTGAATCATAACTATTCCAGTATTACCTGCAGATGGATGGAAGAGGAGGCTACGAGTTCAAAGTCATCGAGCCAGACACCGAGGAGTTCGGATCGTGAATCTTCGTGTCCCTTGCATCGGATAACGCTTTCCAGCATGCAGGGGACGCCACATTTGCAATCGAATAGCTGAACAAACAGAAATTCAAATAAATAATGGATACAGTTTACACACGCGCGCATTGCCAACCTGCACAGACTTACGAGTATCGTGTATATCACTATTTAAACTGTAGCGCATAATACCTGTATATTTTTTATATCAATGTTTTTTTAGAGAATAACGTGTAAACGATACCGCGAGGCAGGCCTTAACACGCTGACTGCTTGTTGATCAGATTACAATTATTAATTTAATTACAAATTTGGTGCAAGAGGATTCAGAAAGTAACCGCTTTGAATTAATAACTTTTAAATCTATTACTTAGAAGTTATTGCGAAGTCATGTTTAGTTTTTGACTCGGCGGTCAACGTGTTAATCCGTTAGTAACTCTTAAATGTTAATTGTATAAAAATATATGTTCTTCCAATGCTGTCAACAAGGGAAATATAGGATTATAATTCTTTTGGGTGGGAGTTTAAACTACCATTCAATTCGACCAACATATTTTTGATACTTGAGAGATTTTTCACTTGCGCGACTAGTAGAATGTTAAATGCACATCACGTACATGTAACAATTTAATAATAATATGTATCTGTATATGTATATACATGTATACGAGAGAAATAGAATTTGTAGCTGAGAACGACGTTCTATTATAAGAGTGCAATTGTGATTTGTTATGTGTAGAACACATTGAGCAAACGCGGTCAGAATATTATTGGATTGCTGGACAATAAGAAAATATGTAATGAAAATAAACGAAAGACAAGACATTTAATTTATCTTTCGGTTTTCACTCTGAACGTACCAAGAAAGATGTATATCATTCATTGTTTGGCATTATGTGTGGGTGTCGGAACTTTCAGCAATAAGAAGCATAGTCCAGTTCACGTTGACGATATGGACTAAAACAAATATAATCGCATATTATTTCTTGCGTTCTATGTGTGTGGTTACATTACATTCAGAACATTAATTCCGGAATCTATCAAGTTACCTCAATACGTCATCGTTTGCTGCGCGTTAATTCAAAGCGAAACGAATTTTTCGAGCAGTCTTTAGCCTCTCACGTGATACGTCTTCTTCACATGGGCTGCTGCGAGGATATTTCAAGTACGTTTTTTCGTTAAACGCAACGTAATCGCAGCTAGAGACAGCCTGTCCTTTTGGTATACTTTTTAAATGTCTTCCCGGTACCGCGAGTCTGCGCGCGCGTCGCTTGGCCGCGAATAGCGCTTGGTTGACTTCGATCCGCCATGTTCGTTGACCGTTGATCGATCGGAGGAAGCTCGGCCGGGTCTGGGAAGTGGGAACCTATAGCAGAGAAGTCCGGGTCCGGGCATCCGGGGCTATCGGGTGTTCAGTTGCCGGTCGCAGGTCGCCAGGGTTCGAACGGTCGAGGGGTGGACCCTGCCTACGGTGTGTGTAAAGCGAGATAACAATAAAAGAAGACAGACAGACGACTCGGCAGAAGGAAAAAGAAGGAAAAAGGGAGAGTCGCATCGCAGTGTGCGTGTGCCTGTAGAGAGTGACTAAGAAAACGGGTGGCAGTGCGACATGACCACGTCGGAGCCATAAGTGCTACAGCTTGGATATTTTTCGTGGGATCGATCGAATAAAAAAAGTGGTTCAATACCCGAGCTGTTCACGTCGAGACGCATTAAATCGTACGATATACATTCTTCGCATCTGAATAATAATTCTCGAGTTTATCTTTGTCTTTCTCTTACTCCTTACTCCCTCTCCCTTTCTCCGCCGATCTTTTCATCGTGTCCGTTTCTCTTTCTCTCATTGCCCCTCTCTCTGTCTTTCTCTTTCACCCTAGTCCCCTCTCCTTGTCGTTTTACGTATCTCTCTGCGTGTCGTTCCTCGTCGTGTGCGCGTTCCTGAAGGCACCGTGATTGGACCTTCTCCGACACTGCGCTCGTGCATCGCAAACGAGCGCGTCTCGGACAGCCTGGGACGCCGGGAAGCAAGCACAGGTACAGGTGCAGGTGCGGGTGCGTGTTGTATGGTTGATAGTGGGCGAACCGGAGACGCGCAAGAACCTGTAATACGAAAAGGAATCTGAAGAAGTACGGGTTGTGTGCAAGAAGTCGACGGTGAAGGTGTCGGTAACAGTTGTGGCAGAATGGATGGTAGCTCAGGTCCGCCGTCGGACGTGACGACGGCGATGGGAACTGAGAACGACGAAGGGTCGAAGGTACGGGTAGACGCAAACGACACGAGCATCTCTTCCTCCGGTACACCGTCGGGCACGTCCGCCACCACCGCGACGTCCTATTCAACAAAGCAACCGGAGTATTGCGGACAGGGCTTGATAAGGGCCTCTTCTGCATCACCTACGCTGCCTACGACCTCCTCGTCTTCGTCACCGTCGTTGTCCTCCGCCTCTTTCGTCTCCTTCTCCGCTTCCTCCTCCTCCTCCTCCTCCTCCTTGTCATCGTCACCGCCGCTGCCGGGGTGTGGCTGCGTTGCCGCCACCGTCCTCGAGCCCGACGAAATTACCATCAGCATCACGCCAACCACCGGTGGCCAGTTTGATCTCACCGTGGACCGCACTGACACTATCGAAAATCTTAAGAAAATTATCTCGAAGAGACTGAAGGTCGCGAAAGAACGCATGTGTTTACTACATCGTGAAAGGTTGGTACATTTACATACATATATGCAAACACGCACGCATGCATATCGATGATCTTACTCCAAATACACACCTATCTCATGTATGAGGTATGAGTCCCTTGCGTGTTTCCCTTTAATCATCGCCGCTTGTTTTTCTTGTAATTCAACGAGACTCGAAACGGAGTTGCAAAGTCTTGCTACATCAATGAGACGCTTCGCTTGACCACGCGGATCTTTTCGTTCGGATTTTTCTCACGAACCGGTCATGTAGGGGAGAATTAGGCGCAGACCTCGCCCCACGCGCTTACCTCTGGAAAGAGAAGAAAAGAAGAAAGAAAAAAGCAGGGTTGGGTAGGTGAATGTGTGCATGGATCGTTGCTGGTGTGTGCTCCGAGAGTTGGGAAGATGCGAGAGAAAGAACCGAACACACAGCATCGAACGCAGACACACACACACACACACACGCGCACACGCATACGATGAAAAGTGCGAGCAAGAAAGAGAGAGAAAGAGAGAGTGGGCATAATATTCGTAGGCGTCGTGGGGGCCACCGCACGGACTGTGATCCTCCTTCATGCGAGCACGCGAGAGAAACATGGTGGAGAGGAAGGTTGGCATACCATACTCTTGGGAGTAGGATGTGGTGGAGGTGGTGTAGTAGGTAGAATATCTCGGGAATCGCGTTCCCGTGAAGTGGAACGGTGACAGCCCTCCGTGGTGAGAGGTAGAAGAAGAAACAGAAACAGAGTTGGATGGAAAAGACGACTTCGTCGTCGCGTCAGGGCCGGCTATTCCCGTACGCAATACATCCCTGGAATTTTCTCTTTTTCTCTTCGTGCCTCCTCCTCACCGCCTCCACCCCACTGTTCTTGGTCCCTGAGTCGCGTATCTCGAGTAGCGATGCCTGCAAAGTGCATTCCCTGATTTTCAGATTATCCTATGCTATCTGAAGAATATTTCTCTTTGATTCTATCTAGAGCAAGCTGTACGAACGATAGACGCAATTTACCTGTTGATAGAGGTTTCTGAAATTGCATTTTTCAACACTATACAAGATATACCTCGAGTCTGTGATTCAGTTCGCTTGAGAACCGCTGCGTCGTCGCACGATTGGCATTGCTTCTAAAATTTGCAATGAAGAGCGAATGGTCTGTACCTATCACCGCTTGCTACTTCTTGTGTGCCGGGCCAGTTTCAGGCGCAGGTAGCATACATGCCGGTACCTTACCTTGTATTTTCTACGTGTGCGCGTATGTGCTGCTATGCGTGCACTCATCTCCTCAGCCTGCCGGTAAGCGGCACGTGCATGTGACGGATCGTTCGTCGGTGTATGTTTTGTCTCTCCTCTCTTGTCTGCTTGTTTCGTTCCATGGTTTCTTCGGACACGCATGCGTATCGAGTGAAACGTAACCTAAAGGGTGAGACTGTGTTAGTGTCATTTCGCCATGGAAAAATCGCCACATTTTATCAGCACTGGCGTGCGTGCTACGCCTACCTCCGAATTGTTTTTCAGATTTTGTAGTCAACGAGGGGCTCGCGCCATGCTTCTTATCGTTTTACTCGCTGACTGCACGAAATTCGATCGACTACGGACATTTCTGCGACCACTATGATTTTTCTTAGAATTCTGCAACACTAACAACAAATTATATCTTGTTCACAGAAATATTTGTTGTGCACCAGAGTGCATTATGACGGTACTATCGGTATAAATTGCGCTTCAATTGTGCATACAATGTTTATTACATGAGCTGCCTGTTTCTTTTAAAAAGAAAAAGAAGCTTATCTTTAGTCACGGTACAACCTCACCTTAAAAGTTTCATGCCGCTATTTAGCGCGTGTGTCATCACAGGTCGTATACTATTTAGTCATCCTCATTGCACTTACAAGGAATGCAGTTCTTTTTCTACTTGTGCATTTTTGTTGTCGACGGTCATCCGTCATGGACTCGTTCGCATCCTTTGGGCAGTTCAAGTACGTTTCGACAGAGCAAGGTCTCTGCACAAGCATACGATACACATTGGCTTGATTCTATTTACTTATAAATTACGTTGCTAAAGCACGAACCTACTCATTGCCGTTCGGTTTTATTAATTTAATACGTTTTTCGTTTGCATATAAGTGGATTAAAATTCCAGTGACGTAAGTTACAGTTTTCTCGTTGCGAGAAACAAGGAGTATTATTGCTTACCAACATGTGTATTGTTTTTTTTTTTATTGACCAAATTTAATATTAAGATAATTTAGACTCAAGTTAATTCATAGTAACTTTATTTCACTTGTCTTTTTACCATGTATTCTGGCATGTATAGATTACGTTTCAAGACAAGTCAAAATTTTCGAAAATTTCACGTATTCCACTATGATTTTAATCCACCCATATCTAAACATCAGCATCAGCTGACTGGCGGCCATGCTGCGTATTCACGTTTTTTGGATTCTTTGACCGACTGCCGAATCCTTGTTCCTGAATTGATTCGGACAAGTCGATCATAAACATTTATATGTAAATATATAGGTAATCTTAAGAATGGATGACAAACAACGCGTTTTCAATGATCAGGAAATTTGATTCGACTAACAGGATAGATCGGTGCGACCGAATCTGAAATAAGGAAGGTTTGGTTGACCTCAGGAACAATAGCAAGGAGAGAACAATATTTATAGTATGATAAACCATCACAATACTTGTCCTACCTTCTATATATTTACCACTTTTTAGACATTGTTTATTCTTAGAGCATTGCTGTGACCGTGTCCTCCTCTTCCTTCTTCTTTTCCTCCCTCTCCTCGTTCTGCTCTCATTCATATCTGCTCGGCGCCTAAAATATAAATACACGCATACATACATAGTATATGCACCGCTCGTTCGATTTTTCCACACGTTCTTACGCCCTTCGTCTTACAATGTAGAGAATTAAACCAGTCGGCAGGTTCAGTTTGGGAAAGCATAAAAGGTGTGTGCATCCAGTGGACTAGAACCTTTACGAAAACCGTTACACTCGTTCGAGTCCGTTCGAGTGATGCTCGGTTCGAGATATCGGAAGTCTCGAAGATCCGCCACCCTCGAACTTCAGTTTCGTAATACCGCAAACAAATGTTAGATGTCTCTTTTGTTCCGCAATTTTCTCTTTCATCGATTTGAAACAATCGATCTGGAGAATCTATAATCTGTACATCGATCGATATTCGCGCCGAATTCAGGGTTATGTTCGCCGTACGTTCTTCTCATTTATTTTCGTTTAAGGTCTCGCGCGCGAATATAATACACGTCGGTTCGTGGAATCGAAGCTCGCTTCGCACAAACATTAATGACGGAATGCCGAGATTTTCGCAATCGTTTCAGCGACCAGCTCCCGATACTTTCGAACGTGTGCCAATACTTTGATGGGACTGTTCGTGTAATGATTCGAAGAAAGGTGTGGTGGGCAGATAATTGGTGCTATTTTTACCGGTAACGAAGCATCGTAAATAAATTTGAATCGGCCGTTACCCTGCGGTTGTATAATCCGCACTGTATCTCTCTGTTGCACGCTATATGATAGCGTGACGCTGATCGGATCTGCTCGTCGAATAGGTGTCGACAAATGTTTCTTATCTCTTCTCTTTGTTACCGGCATTGTGTGTACGTTGTCTTTTTTTTTTTTATTTTGCATAGGAGACAACGTAGAAAAAGCGAACTTTCGTATTTCCAATTCCACGCTGATTCATGGTACTTCACTCGCAAGAAAAACAGCTTCCCTACTTTATCTCCATTGTCACGGCAACCAAGATGCTGAGAGCACGACGATGCTATCTGCATCGAACGTCGAATAAGCGAGAAAATCCGTCCTTTGCTGTCCTTTACGTATGTACCGTAGCCTCCGTTGGAAATTCGAACGAAATAATTCGACGCGTGGAATTTCTAATAGGACATTACGCTGAAAAGAGCGTTGACAATCGAAAGTAAAAGTTAGCAGGGCACGGGCACCCTTTCCTCTTGCTGTCTAGGCTGTAACGAACAAAGAACCGCTCGCGAGGGGAAAGGGGTCGCGATCATTTAATGACAAATATTTTGCGAGCTTACCAAATGGAAGGTGAAATTTCTGGGAAGGAAATTGCGTAACAACTTCCGGGTCATGCTAAGTCAATATTAATTTTTCGTGCGCTCTTTATGGCTTCGTGCCCCTTCGTACCGTTGACTGTAGGCGATAGTACCGCTCTGTTATCGGACCAGTCTAATCTCGATGATCGTGCCGTCTCCGTTATCGTCGTTCCTTCTTTTGTTTTCCACAAGATCGCGAGGAACGACAAGTTCGCCGTCATCGAGATGGATCTTCCTTGTTTCGACGACCATAACGGGTCAAAAGGTTATGCACCGATCTTGCGAACATTTTGGCGGGTGACATTCAGCCATGATTCACGTTCCCCTCGAAGAGGGGTCGCTGCAAGGAAAATTCCTGCAGCGTTGCGCGCGATAAGAGGCACCGCCTCATGCGAACCGGTCTTATCTACCCATTGTCACGAACGCGATGAGAAGTTGTTGCTATTTAACATCGTCAATCTTATCGGCATAAATATACAACGAGACCTGTTCAATATCTGTTGCAGGCTACTACAAGAAGGAACTCTCAAGGAAAATCGTTTACAAGATGGCAGTCGACTCACATTACTACCGAACGTGGAAACCGGCTTGTTGGTAAGTTGTATTTTCCGCTTCTTATCGTACACATCCAGCAAAAACTATTCGGTCAACGAAATTCTTCATAAATTTTGTATAAAAATGATAGCCTGCATTTTCTGCGAGATTCATTTCTATGACATTCTTTACCGTTAAGTTTGCTTTCAAAAATACAAGCGCGAAAGATGGGGGAGGGGGTGAGCGAGTGCCCCTTCGTGAAATTCGATATTGTAGATCGATAATCGCGTCGGAAAAACACGAGCAGCAAGCGTCGACTGTTCCAGATTGCGTTTCTCTCGTGTGTCTCGTGTCCGTGATCGAAACCCGGTTGCGACTGTCAAAGAAAACCGTTCGCCGTCGCGGAGGACGAGTCAAAACAGGAATTCTTACAAGAATGGTGATCCGGGCGAACGCCGTTAACTCTGGCTGGCTGTTCGTGTATCATCGGGTCACTTGGTTTCTCGGCCACCGTATCGTCTCGGCTGCTTTAGTTTCCGGTACTGTGTTACGTCAGATATTTTTCTTTGTCCATCACGCAACGAGCAGCGGAGCTGCAATCCGACGCGCGTGCCCGATCATTATACCAACGATCATGATTTTCAGTCTAACTCGCACGATCCGCCCGGAGCGAGAAATTGGCGGGAAAACGATGTGGACAAAGCTGCGCACCGCTATTACGTTCGGTTATTTCGATCGGTTAGCATAACGATAATCTGTGGATAGATTATGAAATATTTTATTGAAAAGAGACGAGACATTTTCCATGGTAAAATTCTCATTTACCTACAGTTCTCGAATGTATGTTTTTGTGCGCCATCTGTGGGCATTGGAACGAAACTTGGACGTTACCATCCACTAGTGGTCAAAGTGGAGACTTTAATAGAAACACATATGGTAAGGTCAAACGTTTTGGAGCTGAACAGTGCGCAACCTTCTTACTACAGAGTTTCATGTTGGCAGGTATACGGGTCGCAGGTATCTAGAACTGTTCGATTTGAATCGGTAAGAACAATGTGTACTTCGTGTAGGTAATATTCGTTCATCCGGTGCTTTTAAAGAATTCTTCAGCGCGTTGTGTCATAGTTCTATTTTTCTAGTTGATGAGTTCAGAAGATAATCGATCGCTATGCAGACGGAAGACGAAGGAGACGCGTAGCAGAGGCGTCGCGGCATTATATCATTAAATAGGTTGAAAGTTTGATAGGCAGTCGGAAATGACGACGACTTGAATTCTATCGATTCTATCGATTTGTTGTTCCGTTCTATTGTTCCGTTTATCTATTCTGCAGGTGGAACAGTCATCGCAGGTCGGGTTTTCTTATCATCTGTGGAGGAAGACGTGGGAAACGTATCCCAAAGCTGCGTTAAATGATTATTCGATTCATTGTCGTGTCGTTGCGGTGTTTTCGTGCAGAGGGTGTTCCTGCGCATTGAACCGTTAAACAACGGCAGGCGCGATTAATTGTCGTAACCGTATCCTTTTTGTGTATAACAAGGTACGGTCGTACACAACACATTCTATTCCACGTTTATTTGTATTGAAACTTGAATAGATTGGGATCTGAGATGAACATTCACTAATGTATAGTTGTTTTCAGTAAAGTCGAGTCAGATTAACCGGATCCTTGCGTTGAAATACTTTTGTGGGCCAGTGTACGGCCATCGTACCTGAGCGTCGACTTCGCGAGGGCGCGTACTGTTTGGGTTCGAGAGGGTTAAGGAAGCATTACATGGTCGAAACGGGTCAGCCGTTGTCGCAGGTCCATTCACCGAAGCCCAGATTTCCCGACGCGAGGCAAAGCAAAAGCGATGCTTGGAATGAACGCGTGTGCGAGCAAATCGAATTACCGAATATACCGATGACCGTCAGCGAAAGGAAGTCCGTTAGGTGTACCGAGGGATAGGCTAGTCACAGCTAGGCGCAGCGTAGCGAGGGTCTGAGCCGTGGTTCCGCGAGGTTTCCTCTCTTCTGCAGGTCTTCTCGCGTTTCCATCTCTCGTCGTAGGCTGATCGATTCCCCGAGCTCATCTTGCCCGTTCCCCGAGCTCATCTTGCCCGTTCCCTGAGCTCATCTTGCCCGGCGGATGAATAGACCACGAGCCAGAGACAAGCCTCTTTCAACGGCGGTTACGTTTCATCGATAGTTTCCTTCCAATACGCTTCGAGTAGCGTGCTACGAAAGAATATTTTTAAAAGGATTATCTAATCGGTGTCTAATCTGCAGTCCAAATATTGTATTGCTATGGTCTCTTCTGCTAAATCATCGAACACATGCGTATTATTATATTTCAGGCGCAGCGACCGGAACAGAGCGTGATGCAAGCGTTAGAGAGTTTAAACGACTCCCAGGTGAACGACTTCCTCTCCGGAAAAGCACCCCTGAATCTGACGATGCGGCTTGGAGACGACATGATGCTGATACAGCTGCAACTGTCGGCGGTAACGCAGGTCTCGCCTACCGCTAATCAAACCACCGGAAATAGTACCGGCTTGACCATCGGCAGTTCCAACGGATCGAACCTACCCTCTAGCCACGTCTCGACGTCGTTGCAGAGCAGACGGTCGACGCTTCTGACGGGTCGATCGGCTAGCAATGCTTCGACGAAGCTACAGAACGGAACTTCCGCTACCAGGACGTCGTCTCTGATCAGCAGTCTGGTGTCGGCGATGCACGCGGCTGCCAGCTTGGCGACAGCCACCACGACCACCAGTCCTGTTTGCTCTAGTAGAGCAACCACTGCCTCCTCGGTGTCTTCGTCCTCATCTTCGTCCTCGTCATCGTCCGCTTCTTACTCGGCTCAGTCAGTCAATCCCACGCACTCGTCCTTCTGCGGCGGACAGTCGCAAACAGGCGGCCGCACTGGTAGCAATCACGGCTCCGCATCAGCCAACGGCAACACCGTCGCCTGTCAATCCTGCCTTCTCTATCATCATCACAACCACCATCACCACAGTCACCATCACCTCTATCACCATCATCACCATCATCATCACAGTAGGAACAAACCCGCTGCGACCAACCTGAACACCACCTCCCAGTCGTCCGTCACCTTGGACCACACGCAACAATCTACCTCCGCCGGTCAAGGATGCTCGGATACGATGCCCTATGAGATCACGCCGCCGAGGAAAAAACTCTGCACCGCTCACCACCATAGCCAACAGTCCACCAGCACCACCGGCGACTCCTCGTCGAGGAGTAACGTGGACAATGGAGATTCGAGCCCGCAAAGCCCCACCTCCACCTCCTTACCCAAGCAGAGCATGAAGGCCACGGTCCTCGACACCAGGGCGCTCGCAGAAGCGTCCCGCAACCTAACGCAGAGGCTGAAGCAACTCTCCTCTGAGGTACTCACCTCGCGGGTCGACCTCGCAGAGGTATACATTGTTACCGATGCCAGTTCCCCCTGTGTACCATTATTTCGTATTTATTTAGAGCAACGGTCTACATTAAGGTCCTAAGAGACGCTACCATCGTACAGGAACTGTGTTCGCTAGAACATTCAGAATGTTGTAGAGCTGGTAAAGAGACGATTCGATGAAGATTCTCTTAGGTCCTTATACGTGAAACATATCTTGTTTATTTCATACGAATTATCAATTAGTTCGATTAGATTGCAGATTGCATGATAATGCGATTGGACTGTTTGTAATGATTGGTTGCTTTAAATCGTGATTCCAGCGTTTGTTGGCAGATAACTAATAAGCACGTTGTTGTTCGAGCACAGGAGAATGCGAGACGCAGGCATGGTATAATAATTGAGAGTATGCACCACCACGGAAAGAGCGTCTACTCGGGCACGTTCAGCGGAACCTTGAACCCGGCGCTTCAGGATAGGCACGGACGTCCGAAACGAGACATAAATACTATCATTCACCTACTGAATGACTTGCTGTGCGTGAAGCCAGGTACCACCGCGGGCTATTACAGGCATCACCATAGGCATAACAGCGGCCGCCAACAGTCCTCCTCATCCCCGAGCTCCACTGGAACGGCAACCACTGTGAACGGTACTTCGACACCTATCGGGTGTCACGACTCATCCTCATCCGGATACTCCACCGGTATTGTATCTCGCAGGATACCACCCCTGAGAGTACCGAACAAAAATTGTTAACAGTCATACCTTCTACAACGCAGGTTCAGTTTGTCCGATTAATGCTGGAACTTCCAGAAGGAGCAATGCATTTTTTGTAACTTGTAAACGATGTTCGTCTGTTATTTCTAGCATTAAGTACCTTTCACCGGGGGTGATATCAGAGAGAATCACAGCCACAATCATCTCTGTTTCGGCCAGAGATCAGTTGGAATGTGGCTCTCGTCGGGATATTGTGTTCTTCGTCTATATCAACCTGGCTGATTTTTCTAACAGAGGAGCTATCGAAAGAAAACGAAGCGATGAAAGGAAAGATGAGACGCCTGCGTTTGGTGATGGACGAACTACGTGCCAGGAAGAAAGCGAGACGTCAAGCGAAAGCAGCACCCTACACGACCCAATGGTCAACGGTGACGCCCGATCCAGATCCAAACACCTCGAGTACTGCAACCACAAGTACAGCAGACCCGTCGAACGAGCCGGAGCTGCAACCCTGCAGCCCGGAGCCAGTTGTCGCTTAAGTCTAGTTTATCTTCTTCGTCGTAAATGCAATGAGTTTGTTTGTTTGTTTGTTTCTCGTTCGTTCGTACGTTTTTTGTTATCTAATTGCACCAATTTGTTTAATCGACGGCAGACTCGACCATTTTTGCGGCTGTTTCGTTTTCGCTTTGGATACCGATTACCTCGAGAATCGAGCTGTTTTTCATATATTGTTTATACCGGGGCGGCACGCGCGGAACCAGCAATATTATATTCGATATATATATGACATCGATTCCGGAAGTTTGTATAAATTTATATTTTTGTAGAAGTCGAGACTCAGCAATTGTAGCAGTTGTTTGAAAGCAATTGTAGCAGTGGTTCGCGCGTTTGTTAGCATCTTGATTTCCCTTGCTGATGAATTATATTTGAACTTTCCGGCGAATGGTTTCATGCTTGTCGCCACGGTAGTTTGTTACGGTCGTTTTATATATTTGGATTATATGCGATGAAAATAGGAAACGTCATTCGTCGGAGTGGAGTAATCAATTTTAAGAGAAACGCTGAAGAGGTTGACACAGTTTGTACGACGATGAGACACATATACCCTTTGGTTGGTCACGCATACGCTTGGATACGTTAGATTGTATAGTTCGCTAAATGACACCTCCAGACTCATGAAACCGATGAAATTTAGCAATATTAAACGCGACGGGATCCGTGCATGCCTAGGCACGATTATAATTATAGAAATTTTAATATTAGCGGAAGCGAGACCGCACCGTTCGCGGTCCACTATATAGCGGAGAGTGCGAGGTCGTTATGTAAAAGTGATTGAACCCTATTCGCGAGAACAGTGTTCGACTATACTCAGGACTCGATCGTAGCTGACAATAATTGCACTCGACGACCGGACACCGGTGCGACCACTATTGTCCACTCTATTCGATCGTAGAGCAAATATGGCGAAACGCCAGTTATTCTGAATTGAAAGAAAAATTATACACACGTGATCGTAGAAGAATCGTTTGTCGATAGAGATATCTCGATAGAGGAGAGGAGGGTTGACAAAATGGTAAAAGAATGGAAACAGAGGATCGTTGGTTCGGTTGGTGAATCACGATCCCGTCGGCAACTCATCGGCAACTCATCGGCGTATATAACACTGTCCGACAAAATCAAACTTTTTTTTTCTGGGTTCGTATAGCCACTATGAAATTCTTGTTCAAGAATTGCTCCGAGAACCGAATTGCTCCATCACCCTCAGTTTTTTAAATAAACGAACTTTTGTAAAAACCCAAAATTTTCGACGAAAATGAGGTATTGCATGAAAAGTAAAAACGTTAGAAAGTTCTAATTGGTGTTAAAAGATGTTAAAAAGGTGTTAAATGTCGGACAGTGTAATCAGATTTTAGCAGACGCGAGTAGAATTTAAAACGATCACAGACCACTATACGAATCGCGGGAAAGACTGTTACTGAAGCGGATAAGCAAAGTAATATTAACACACAAACATGTACTCCGTCGATCAATAGGATTTGAATTCTTGCGGGAGAAGCATGGTTTCCTTTTGTCGAGTATAAAACGCGTTCGCTTTCGTCGTTCCAGCGGCTGTTGCCGGGAATCGATCGACCCTCGCCACGTTTATTGTACATACAATGAAGTGCACTTCGTGTTTTGAACAAAGAAACAAAAATGAAAGGGTGAGAAAAAAAAATTGTGCTTTTGCGTATCAATACAGTGGAGCCCGTGAGACGGATCGGTCGGTTCCAGCATCAACAATCTCATATCAGTTTTTGGTATATGTAAAGAAAGAAAAATGAAAGATTTTAGAACAGACTGGATTTTTCACACGAACTAATCGAGTCGTAAAGAAATGATAAAAAGCCTTGGTCGTCTTTTGTATCCCGAGGATGGCCAAACGCCACGTCTCATCCTTCAACAAGGAAAGAGGAATAAACACAAAGCACGCGGATAAAATGGTCCTATAGTTAGAATTAGATAATCTCCTATCGCATGGCTTCAACGCCGGACATTCATTTAAGTTTCACTAGGGTACTAAATAATATAATATCAACTAATGAATAGTATATTGCGTTAGGTTATTTAGGAGAGAAAAAAAAATTTATTATTATTATTATTACTATTATATTATTATTATTATTATTATTATTACTACCGCTACAGTTTTGAAAACTGGCTCAATATTGTAATGTATGATTAATGAATTTTATCGAGTACCAAAATAAATAAGATTGCTTGCTAAGCTAAGGAACGGAAAACAAGAACAATGTTTAATAACGTCTGAAGCGCGACGAAGTCCGTTTAGTTTAGCGTCTTTGTTACATTATTATTTGCTGTTTCTGACTTTGCCTTTTCAGCGAAAATGAGGTAGGTTTTTTTAAAATAAGGCGACGAAATAAGAGAATCATGTTTTTGGTTGAACACGGTCAGTCACAAAAGTCTGCATGAAGATGATAAATTTTAAATGTTTCAAAAGAAGAAGAATGAACTGAGATTTTGTACATTTTATGAACTGTATACGTTTTGTTTTTCCTCGTAATTTGTAAGGAGGTGTTATGATTTAAGGCGGTTGAAGGTTGTACGAAGTTCCGGTTGTTCGTTTTTCTTTAACGTTGTTTATTTTAAATTACGTCTCGAATCACGTGAAACTGTAGAAATCGATTGACGCTTAGAAGTTNAAGAATGGAAACAGAGGATCGTTGGTTCGGTTGGTGAATCACGATCCCGTCGGCAACTCATCGGCAACTCATCGGCGTATATAACACTGTCCGACAAAATCAAACTTTTTTTTTCTGGGTTCGTATAGCCACTATGAAATTCTTGTTCAAGAATTGCTCCGAGAACCGAATTGCTCCATCACCCTCAGTTTTTTAAATAAACGAACTTTTGTAAAAACCCAAAATTTTCGACGAAAATGAGGTATTGCATGAAAAGTAAAAACGTTAGAAAGTTCTAATTGGTGTTAAAAGATGTTAAAAAGGTGTTAAATGTCGGACAGTGTAATCAGATTTTAGCAGACGCGAGTAGAATTTAAAACGATCACAGACCACTATACGAATCGCGGGAAAGACTGTTACTGAAGCGGATAAGCAAAGTAATATTAACACACAAACATGTACTCCGTCGATCAATAGGATTTGAATTCTTGCGGGAGAAGCATGGTTTCCTTTTGTCGAGTATAAAACGCGTTCGCTTTCGTCGTTCCAGCGGCTGTTGCCGGGAATCGATCGACCCTCGCCACGTTTATTGTACATACAATGAAGTGCACTTCGTGTTTTGAACAAAGAAACAAAAATGAAAGGGTGAGAAAAAAAAATTGTGCTTTTGCGTATCAATACAGTGGAGCCCGTGAGACGGATCGGTCGGTTCCAGCATCAACAATCTCATATCAGTTTTTGGTATATGTAAAGAAAGAAAAATGAAAGATTTTAGAACAGACTGGATTTTTCACACGAACTAATCGAGTCGTAAAGAAATGATAAAAAGCCTTGGTCGTCTTTTGTATCCCGAGGATGGCCAAACGCCACGTCTCATCCTTCAACAAGGAAAGAGGAATAAACACAAAGCACGCGGATAAAATGGTCCTATAGTTAGAATTAGATAATCTCCTATCGCATGGCTTCAACGCCGGACATTCATTTAAGTTTCACTAGGGTACTAAATAATATAATATCAACTAATGAATAGTATATTGCGTTAGGTTATTTAGGAGAGAAAAAAAAATTTATTATTATTATTATTACTATTATATTATTATTATTATTATTATTATTACTACCGCTACAGTTTTGAAAACTGGCTCAATATTGTAATGTATGATTAATGAATTTTATCGAGTACCAAAATAAATAAGATTGCTTGCTAAGCTAAGGAACGGAAAACAAGAACAATGTTTAATAACGTCTGAAGCGCGACGAAGTCCGTTTAGTTTAGCGTCTTTGTTACATTATTATTTGCTGTTTCTGACTTTGCCTTTTCAGCGAAAATGAGGTAGGTTTTTTTAAAATAAGGCGACGAAATAAGAGAATCATGTTTTTGGTTGAACACGGTCAGTCACAAAAGTCTGCATGAAGATGATAAATTTTAAATGTTTCAAAAGAAGAAGAATGAACTGAGATTTTGTACATTTTATGAACTGTATACGTTTTGTTTTTCCTCGTAATTTGTAAGGAGGTGTTATGATTTAAGGCGGTTGAAGGTTGTACGAAGTTCCGGTTGTTCGTTTTTCTTTAACGTTGTTTATTTTAAATTACGTCTCGAATCACGTGAAACTGTAGAAATCGATTGACGCTTAGAAGTTATGCTGCTATAGTTTATATAAGTATTAAAGAATTGTTGTAGTTACACGCAAACACAGACTTCGCGACAATACAACCATTATATTACGAAAGAAATCATCATTGTCCTTTCAACAAGCCGGTTGTCGTCGCAAACATTTCTGACTATCCCAACAGATTGAAATAGGTGAAAATAATTGTGCAATTCATTTGGAAAACGATAACACGCAAGGAAAAATTCCTGTCTTCATCTTCTAAGTTCTATGCTTCGATTGCAAATGTTTTTCAATACAACAAAATTTGTTCGTTCGTTACAAATTTGTACTGGAAACTATCAGTTTCATCGTGGCACATACAATAAAAAGAGTATCATTAACGGTACTCGACGACCCTTTTTTATTTTCATTATTCGATCACAAAGAGACTATAAGATTACTTCGGTAAATGTATCGGTTTCTTTTCATACCTGTTTAACTTTTGGCTATGGGGTGATATCCATTGATATTTTTTACGACTTACGTACGTCTCTTATCATTCTTAGAATTATAATATCGCTAATGTCACATCGATGGTACATATAAAACAATATAAATCGGTCACGTATTCTACAATCTTTAACAATATACATAATGTATCGTGAAAGGTATGTACGATATGTACGAAAGCCTGTGATAGTCGACGCGCGAACTCTACCGTTTACATGATCGTCCATTCGGAAGAACAGGTTCCGGAACACTGTTTCCTGCCCAATGAAGTAGTAGCGCGTTTCAGTACACGATTGAAAATCCTTACAAGATACTTGTATTCTCAAAATTATGATAAAAAATGGACGGGATTGCAACAGGCGAAGCGTCGTTCACTATAAAGAAAAACGCGTTTTCCGTGCGTCGTTCAAATGCAACCGTGTGCCACCGTCTATGAATCTGAACATTTGACATAGGTTGAAGGTGAAACCGAACACGTGAAAATAAAGCTCGGCGTGTGCCCTGTGTTTACATTGGCCTCGTGATATGTTCGTGGATGTCGTTCGTTTATGATCTATGGCACGACGATGGTGCAGTGAGAAGACTTTTTCGTAAACATTTTTACACTACAAAAAAAAAGAAAAGAAAATCAAGGAAACCTGTATATTTTGGCAGTTGAAGTTTTGGGTAATTTAATCTTTTTACACTTCTAACAAATGTACTTTTGCCACCAGGAAAAGAGAAAGATTCTCCCTTTTCCTGGATACGTTCATTGATTGTCTAGTACAAATTGATTTTCTTTGTGATTACTTTGCGACACATGTGGCAAGTTTTCAACGGATTCGCGCAGTGCTCGCAGGCTCCATGGCCGCAGAGAAATGCAACGTTGCGACGACGCTCCATGCAGATGCTGCACATGTTGGCTTCCTCTAGGTCGGCTACCCTGGTCTCCAAGTAACGTAAACGCTCTAAATCCTTATCTTTTTCTCTCTCCTTCTTCTGATTCTCCTCCTTCTTCTTGTCTTCCAACGCAGCGTCCTTCACCTTATCGTCCGGCTTTGCCAAGGAGATTTCTGCAGCGGCCGATTGACCATCCACATCTGGGCAACGCATAGAATGATTATTTTACAATCGACCAGCACCGTTAACAACGCACCGCCGTATTACCTGGAATCGCCTGCGTGTCGGCAATTCCATGACCGCAATGGGCACAGTTAATGATCGCGACGCTACTACTAGGATTTAATCTGTCCCCATCGTCGATTGCGTTCGTTACTATACCTAAACAACCGTGACACTCGGAAATGTCATCAGAACCGGAAATGCCGCCCTTCCTGGGCCCACGCACCATTTCCGACTGCGACGCAGGATCTGTCTGGTACATTGAACTCTGCGAGGTTGGAGGATTCTCTATCCTGCAGTGCAGAAAGTATTGTTTAAAACCTGTTACACTTTGACTTGTTCTGTGATAGTTATCTTACGTACTCTAACGGAGCTCTGTGACTGTATTGGTAGCAGCGCAATAAATCCGTGTACGGTGCGAGCTGTGGTTCCGCTTCCAATAGGTCTAAAGGTGTTTTGCTCTTCGAGTTCCTCGCGTGTTCCAATAGAGTGCAGCTTCTGTCGACGCTCACTAGATAACAAGCCAACGCCAGTTCCGTCTTGATACCTTGTCTAGCCAAGTTCTGCCATGTCTGAAACATAGCAGCGTGTTAAAAAAGCTGATTCACCGATGATGCGAAGAGCACAGTAGCAAAACTCACAGCATAAATCAAAGGCGAGTCTCGACAACTCTCCGGCGTGGGGACAACGTTCGTTTGATTCGGACTTTTCACTACAGCGATATGCAGGACCGTGTCGCCGCTGGTGTCTGTGCTGGCGATATCGGCATTGTGATGCACCAGCAGCTCCACTAGGGCCCAGTGACCCTGAGACGTGGCCAAGTGCAGCGGTGTTTGGCGACGATTGTTACGCAAATCGACTTTCGCGTGACCGCCATTTTGAGAAAGAAGTATTGCAGCAACGTCCCTGTGGCCGTTCAAGGCTGCTAGGTGGAGCGCCGCGAAGCCATCTTCTTTCTTCACATCTACCAGGTGCCTGGCTCGCGTTACCAATTTCTCAGTCGCGCTGTACAAAGATGAGGAAAAAAGGAAGAGTATTCCACGTGTGCTCCAGAGACGTGCACGCACTGTATACAGCAATGCATACGTACTGGGCATTGCCCTTCAAAGCAGCGTGATGCAACACGTTGAAGCCACGCTTGTTCTTCAAGGTGAAGTCCACCGTTTCGCACGAACAGAGTGCGTCGATGATATCCAAAGCGTCTTTTCCTATGGCGTCCTTGCCGATGGCGTCGTGCAACGCGGTGTCTCCGTACGAATCTTGCAGATTAACGTCACAGTGGTGGCGTAACAGGACCTTTACGCACTGTGCGTGTTTCTTGTTGACAGCGACATGCAGCGCACTACATTTGCCGTTGTTCACGGCATTGATAGGTGCACCCCGTGACAACAGTAACTCCATTATTTCTGGCTGGTTGCTGCCAGAAATAGAAACAATTTTTCAGTCGGAGTTTGCGAGCGTCGTTAATTTAGTTGTTGCATTTTGGACGAACCCGAATGCAGCATAATGAAGAGGCGTGTCTCCATCCTCGTCCACCGCCCGCAACGAAGCACCCGCATCCAGTAGAAGGATACAGAGGTCTCGTTGACCTTGATGAGCTGCGACCTGCAGGCAGGTCTTTTTTCCACCACCGGGACCACCGGCTCTTGCGTCTACTCTGCCTGGGTACTTCTTCAGGAATTCCTGAACCGCCGATACTCCTGCTTCTCCTCTAACCGCATCTCTCAGTAGTTTCTCAACCTCTGTGTCCACACCCTCACCTGGAGAAATCATGGAATATAGCAACCATGGAAATCCAATCGATCGAAAGATAGGTCCGACATACTTGACCAGCTTCTGCCTGCTTCGTCCGGGACAGAGGCAATCTCGGTTCCAGGAGGAACCAGAGTGACGCTCATCTGATTGAACGTCCACGTGTGACCATCCAAGGCTACTCGCAAGTCGCCATCGGAATATATCTTGATTACTTTTCCTGTCTTTCCAAGAGCGTTCTTCATGACGTCTATCCACTCTCCGTGACCTCGTTGGTAAAGCTTCACGGCAGACAAATTGGTTTTCACCCGAACTATATCGCCTAGGGAGAATGTGTCTTTACACGTGACCTTTGTGAGTGCTGCTGGATGGAAAGTCCACCTATTATTGCATTCCTCGAATTGCACGCGAACGTCTCCTTTGTCTGTGATCCGGTGGACCTTGCCAACCTGGACGCAATCATAGAAATTAAGCGATAGAACGATGAAACGCGCGATATATTCTTGTCGGTTCTCTATACCTTCCCTATATATTCGGCCATACGTGGATTCCAACCACCATGACCTTCCTGCATCTCTTTCAAGGTATCTACGTCGACCAATACTTTGATTTTATCTCCTACGTTGAACGTTAAGTTAAGACACGGACTAGACATAGTGTAAGGAATACTACTCCTGGTTGGGGTCGAGCTGCTTCCGTTTTCGGGTACAGTTAGTATGGGCTGACCAAGCAGAGGAAGATGATCTTTATAGTACGTGCCACTCGTGGCTTCCTCCACGTATGTTAGGTCCACGCAACCTTTGTACCCGAGTCTGTACACGTTCGTGTTGCCCGTGGACCACGTTACGGTTGCCACGGAACGACTACTTTCATTGTCCCAGCCTCGTATATCCATGACTCTACCAGTTTTTCCTGAAATACGGAGTGCATCGATCGTACAACGGAAATTTATGATTTCATAGAAAGCTCCTAGTACCTGACCCTCCGTCTTGGTTTCCCCATTCCCAGTCTGGACCACGGACAACCTTTGCTCCGATAAATATTCCCTTCAAAGGTATCTTAGGACAGCCTTTTCTCTGAGTTAGTTGGACCCTATGAAATCCGGTATGAATTAATCCTGCCATCTACGATTAGTTCGGATAATATCTAAAAGACCAACCCCACGGAGTTAGCTGTTTGAAATCTTTGGAACGTGTGACTCAGGTCGTGCATGTCAGCCATGTAGCATTGAGTGCACAGGTCGTAATCTGGGCAATGAGCACACTTCCATCTGATACCGATTATCCCGTGTCTCTTACATCCATCACAGATAATGTTCGCGTGTTTAACGCCGGTGGCTGCATTGTCGAACACCAAGAGATCGTAAGCACCTTGGTATCCGATTCTGTAATTACTTCTGGAGCCATGGTCCCACTCGACAATGACCGTTTTGTCCGGAGTTCTTTCCAAAGGATTGGGACTGGAAGCTGAATTTCCCGAAGAGGGTGGCTTGCCAATTTCTACAACTGTTCCGGCATGTCCTTCTCCACCATCTTGATCATCCCATTTCCAATCTCGTCCACGGACAACTCTCAGACCAACTTCTAACATCTCAGAGTCCCCTGTATTCCGTATGTGACCCTTCAACAATCGAATTCAAATAGAAACGTTTATCGCAGGTTGAGACAGTCTATTTATCACGCAACTAATAGAATAGGTCGTCAAAGATAGGACAGACAGTGAAACAATAACAATTTAGGTCGTTACATTGTGTTTTCTTTCTGTTTGTATCTTGTTTTCGATTAATGAAGATGACGTACCTGAAACGGTCGACTTTGGCACGGGATTTCTTATGAATCATATGCACCCGTGCGATGTTTCACGTAGCTCGACAAACATATTCTCTCGAATCGACGACGTAACAGATCGAACGTGCATTAGTACGAACGGTGGTGGACATGCCTGGTAATTGAACGACATCGTTAGTAAAGATTGCAGTGGTTCATCCTGATAGGATTCTGTGTCCGTGTCAACGATCGTAACCTCGCAACGAGCTCGGCGAAGGCGCCTCTTTCGAGCGATGGCCGAGCTAATGGAAACTAGACACGAGACCGCGAGACGCGTACCTTTTCTTCTCGGTGAGCGTGAGAACGTTTCCAGAAATGCTTCGCATCCCTCGCTATGGAACCCGCGTCGGATTAATTATTTCGTTAACTCTCGCACAGACCACGCATTTCTGGTATGTAATTCATGCACACTGCTCTTTCCTCCGTAGAAACGTATAAACATAAACTATTCACCACGATCACGAGATCCACACTAGTAGGAGTAGAAAGAAGGTCCACACGACCCCAGCCGAGTCCGTCCAAAGGAAAACACTTTTCCCTCGGACTCGATTCTTCTAATCATGTTTTTTCCACGTTTTCGCTGCACGACGATGCTCTTTTTCAATGAATCGGAATCATTACCCGTGTTATAGAAGAGAGGGTGCGAGGGTGAGTCAATTGGATGATTCCGGCAATTTCCGACACGAATCGTCCGCTCCCGAGGAAGGAGCTTTTGTAAAAGTTTGAATTTTCTATCGTCGAGGGCATAATATGGCCACTTTTACGATTAAAAATCCAGAAGAGATTCCCGGAAGTGTGCTCGACATTGTTTCTCGCATATACGAGCTCGAATTAATAAGTACGAACAATCTTTGGTTTTACGTTGAAATCTAAAATTTTCGAACAAATGATTCGTGCCGCTGCTTCCGTAAGGAACAATTTGAATACTGGCACGAATTTTCTGCTGCTCCTAAACAGCCGAATAGCGCCACTCCAATGCAGCGGCAAAACGCTCAAACTGCTCGCCAAATTACCGACAGGTCGGTAAATGCCTCGAAGTTGACTGCCAGCGCCATTTATCGGCAAATAGTAAGACTTTTCGGTCGGTATTTGGCGAATAGTTTGAGCGTTTTGCCGCTGCATCGGAGTGGCGCTATTCGGCTGTTTAGGAGCAGCAGAAAATTCGTGCCGGGATTTACCTGGCTTCTTATGCAAAATGCGGCACGAATCATTTGTTCCAAAATTCGATATTAGACATAAAACTGAAAATAATTTGTAATTAATTAAACTAATGCAAAACCTAATCCAAAACTATCATTTCATGTTGCCAATTTATCAATTGCAGATATTTACAAATCTGTCCTGGTTAATGAGTTATTAACAATTTCTTCGGAGAGAGAGCTATATCGACGTTCGATGCTCGGGTTTCGAAAAAATTCATTTTCACTATGTTCTCCCCAAGATTTTTGACCGTACGACCGTTCCAATTACAGCTGAAAGAGCGTACTATACAGTAGGTGTATCAAAATTTGCAAACAAGTACGATAACACCGTAGGAATTGAAAAAGCAACGACCGATTGCCTCCGAGAGTTCGCAATTCCGGCGCGGATAATTGACTCGCGATTAAATGAAACAAATTAGTAGAAACCAATGTAAAAATACCAATGCTATTATCCCAAGACAATATCATTGTATATAGCGTGTCTAAATCGCTGTAACAATGGACTCGCGAAAGGACACGGTACCGATTGCTAATCGCGCGTCCGTTGTGTTTTCAGGCGCGACCCTCGATTCTCGAGCACCGGGTGCATCCGTGGATTCGACGATTTCCACAATTTCCACAATTCGGAGACGCGCCGGCGTACGAGTTTGTCCTGACGTAACGGCGTTACGTCAGAACGTGGCTCCGGCACGCAAGCGGGATAGTACGCGTGGGTGTGCTGGCAAAGAACAGCGAAGAGGGGTGCAGGGTGAGTCGAAGAGAGGGTAGAACGTCAATAGGAGAATCTTTTACGTGCAAGGTGGGAGGATCGGTCGGAAAGAGGGGCGAACGTAGGGGGTTGCGACGGAGGGTGGGTTGGAATCAGGGCTGTAACAAGGGGTGTTCGTCTTAAACCCGCTCAAGGACGTCCAGCAGCAACTCCGACGTCTCCAGCAACTGTTGAATATTAACCGTCCCCGCGATAAATATCTTTCCCTCGCGGACTGCTTTTCGCAATCGCTTTCGCGAACGGCTCGGATTCGATCGAAATCGCTGCTTTTGGCTCGGCTCCCCGTCGAGGTTACAGCCTGCGACCCGTAACGTCCAGCGACCCTTGCCTCGGTTTTACGAGGTCGCGTCCTTCGATCGGCCAAGGTTCCCCCTTCGGTTTTCCATCCCCTCGGCCTCTTTACGGCTCCGGTACGGCAGGAACGATAGGAACGACGTCGTCGAGGATGGCTAACCGGGAGCGAGAGTAGTCGTCGGCGTACAAAAAAAAGAGTTCTCGCTCGAGAGTTCGTCGTTTCGAATAATTCAATGGGCCCGCTATAATTATCACGGTGAAATCTATCGATCGACGATTCCGGGACGCGCTTCCTGGCTCGCGAATCAACAACCCGCTTTGCTTCCCCCTTTAGGAAACTCGCTCGCTCCCTCCACGAGCCAAGAAACTCGAGGGAATCGTTCGCACGAGAGCCTGAAGAGCGCCCGAAGACCTGCGTAGAGAACTTCGGCTAATAGCTTTAACGGATAGACCGAATCTCTCTCCGGAAGACTTAGAAGGGGGCAAACCCGAGCGACGTAACGCGTCGACCGAGAATCGGTCGTTGAGATCGTCTCGGTGTGTCGCGTCGATCGGGCTCCTTCGAGCGTCAACCGCCCCGGAAACGGGAAGTTCGAGTTCGCCTCTGATCCCTGAAAGCGACTCGGCTCTCGCCGATTACCATTGTTCGAATTCGGTTGTCTCCGGACGGCATCGGTGCCGCGGCCTCGCCGCTTCCTAGCTTGAAGCTTCCGCGGATCAAAACAAGTCCCGTCTCCATTCAACCAACCCAGAAAGCTCGACGCGCTTTCGCAACGGTCTCGATAGACGCGTATCTAGATGACACGTTTGCGTACACCATTGAGCCGAGGGCCGAGGGCCGGGGGGTGCTATTCGAAGTGTTCGAAGCCACTATGCGGCAGGGGTGGTTCTCCGAAGGGGATAAGCCGCTACCGTTACGGGGGCGACTTCCAGGCCCGTAGCCACACCGGGTCTCCCTCGCGATTCGGGGCAACGGTCTCCGCGAATTTTTCAAAGGGAAAGTTCGGACGAGACGACGGGAATTTCAACGCCGATGAAGACGAGATTCGGACGAGAGGATCGACGGAAACGATCGCTGGGGAACCGCGACCGGTGCCGTTCGACGAAGCCTCTTCCAGCGGGTTTTCCGTTCGAAATTTAAAACGGTCTCGCTTATCCGAACAGCGCGTCGAACGGCAGATTCGAGTAACAGCAGCCAGGATATCGATAGCCGAGCACGTTCGCGTCGTAAAATAATAATTCGCGTCGGCGCGATTACCGGAAATTCTACTCGAGGGCTCGGTTCTACGATAACATCGTGCGTACGGGTTCGATAAAGAATACACGGAGCCGCGAGCGTGCTTGCTCAGCAGCGAGGAAGCGTTCGGAAGCGATCGAGGAACGATTCGGAAGAATTCGTAACGATTCGGAACGATTCGGTGGCGAACCGACGCGAAAGAGGGCCGCGCCGAGAAAATGCGTCGGGAGCTGGGTTCGGGTGCTACGTCGCCGAGTTTTATCGGCGCGGGAAGGGGAACCGTGGACACGGGATCAGCGGCGTATCATCCGGAGGGGTTGTACCAGAAGGGTGCTAGCGATGGGATCGATCCACGAGTTCGCGGAATACGTGGATTTCGGGCGGACCTTTGTTCTTCCGCGCGGAAGGCTCTCCCTTGGTTCGGATTTTTGGGAAACCCGGTCCGCGCGCGCGAACGGTTCGCCGGCCCGAGTTTCGTCGAGCATCCAGGGTTGTTCGAGGTCGTGCTTTGCTCGCCGGGTCGGTTACATCGGAAATTCTCGTGGAATTTGGACGATTCGGGGGTGTCCGTTCGATCCCATCGTGCCGCCCGACGAGAGGGAGAGAGAGAGAGAGAGAGAGAGGAAGGGTGGGAGATCCTGGAAACGGAGGGGTTGGTCCGCCGGTGGGAGTCGAGGGTGCAGGTGGGGCTGGCGCCGAGGGTGGGAAAAGGCAGGCGGCTGGAGAAGGAGAGAGAGGCGAGAGAGCGTAACCCCGCGGCACCCGTGTGTGTCGCACTAAAATGTGACTCTGGCCAGCAGCACCGAGAGCCGTGTGTGTCGAGAGCGAGAGAGAGAGAGCGAGAGCGAGAGAGAGAGAGAGAGCGAGAGAGCGCGCGCGCGAGAGCGAGAGGGAGAGAGAACGAGAGGGAGAACGAGAGGGAGAGAGAGAGAGAGAGTCGTGCGTGCCGGAATTTTCGTTAGTTTCGAACACGGCTACGAGCTGGTCCGGGCGCGTAGAACGACGGTGAACCGAAAGGCCGAGGAACAAAAGGCGACACAGCCGGCCTGGAGTGTCTGAAGAACCGGAAGAAGAAGAAGAAGAAGAAGAAGAAGAAGAAGAAGAAGAAGAAGAAGAAGAAGAAGAAGAAGGAACAGAAGAAGCGGAAGAAGAGAAAGAGGCGGAGGAGGAAGAGCTTCTAGCTTCACCCTGGCCGGGAGAGCTAGAGGGGCGCGGACCACCGGATACCCTAACTCTGGTCGAGCCAGCGAGGACCCGGAAGAGAGGGCCCGGAAGAAGTGTTCGGCGAACGCGGCAGGATTTCGCTGGGCTGGCTGGTTGATTCGCGACAGCGACAGCGACAGAGACAGAGACGGATACGGCAGGGACGGAACGCGGACGGCGATGGCATGCGAATCTAATTGAGACGCTGCTGGATGACACCTCGGCGGATATAGGCTGGCAGGTGCACTGTCACGGCCTGGGAGGACGAGGACGAGCCTGGTCGGCTCGATGACCGGCCGGGAGTAGTTTAGTATCGTTACCAACCGTGAACTGTGATTCATTGTGGGAGCCGGGATACGGGGACTCGCGCGACACCACCGGCCGCTAAACAGGTAAGTCCCAAATTTGTTACGTTCTCGTGCGTTTCGCGTTGAAATTTCTCGCCGATCGTCGCGTACGCCTCCTTCGAACCCCTTCGCGAAGGGGTGTATACACCCATTGGGCGCCTCGACGGTAACCGTGTCGACGAGAGAACCGAAATCTCCGTTGAAATATCCCGTCGTCGACGGCATCGCTGTCTTTTCCGTTATCTTCGATCCCCTAACCGCCAGCGTATCGATGCCGCTCGCTTCAAACGCGTAGTCCGGCTTGCTCTAGCCTAGTCTAGAGATCTGTTGCACCGGTCGCGATCGTGCTAGATCTTAGACACCAGTTGATCTTGGATCGCACTCGCGCAGCTGACTTTGCAGCTGATTCGGGGACGATTAGGCCAACGACGATCGCCTCGCGTTTCCGAATTCCGTGGAAACGTGGCTGCTACGACCGCGAGAAGGGTCGAAGGTTGCTGGGAGATCGTCGTTGTTGGGTAGATCGTGTAAAATCGGAGAAATTGCCCCTTTCGCCGTCCTTTTCCGAGTTCTCCTCCTCGAAATTGATTCGGCGAAAGCCGGGCTTCGCCGCCGCCGTCGCTAGAAATCCGTTTCGTCCGGCTCGTTCGATGGCCATTTTAACCAGCTTTCCGCCTGCTTTTCTTCTTCTTCTTCTTCTTTCGCGTTCGATCTTCGGCGAGTCTTTGTTCCCTTCTCTCTTCGCTCGCCAACGAGATTCTCGACGGTGGTAACCGAAACCTTTGGGTGAATTGATGCAGCGGGAGGATCGAAACGCAGGGAGGTAACGTCTCGATTTCTTAACGGAGAGAACCGGAGAGAACAGCATTCGATCTTGGTGTTCTTCGTGTTCTTTCCCCGGAGAACGAACGATGATCCCAGAATCGAAAAAGCTTCGAAACCGTCGCGCAACTGTTGCGAGACTGCGGATCTTTGCGCGAAATTAAAATTGTCCGAGGTCGACTGTAATGAATAGAACTAAAGTAAACATGTTTCGACGATTTCGTGGACAAACGTGGACGTTTTTCTGGGGACAATGCAAAGATACTCCGAGATTCTTCTAACGTAGAATCGAGGAGATGCGGAACAAGTTGGGTAGAATTTAAAACGGAGAGGAGACATTCGGAAAAACTGTCATTTATCTACAGTATTGCTGCAGTTAATTGTTAATTGCCGACACGTATTAATTTCAACTCGTTCGATTAATCGAGGAAAGAAAAGAGTTCTCGAGCGTCTTGGCACAGCGTTTCTCGGTTGTCTCGACGTTCGGAGGATCCTATTCTCCGACGATCTCGCTATCGTCGAACACGGCGATGATATTTGGACAAAGGCGAATCAACGAAAGAGAACCAAGGAGATTGAGGGTGAAAAGGGATCGATCTCCTAATGGGCTCCGCTAACGGGGGGCGGGGACTGGAAGCGTTCGATCCCCCGATTCCCGAGGCTCTCCTCGTCCTCTTCTCTCGGGGGAACTTTCATCCCCCGTTGCAATATGTCCGTTATCTCCGTTACCTCGCAGCGTTTCATAGCTGTTGTAGGGGCTGATTTATGTTAGCCAGCAGCACGGTGGCGTGAAACCGCTGTTCGACCATGGTCGACCGGTTTCTGATCTCGGCGAGCGAACCTTCTCCGAGGCAGTGCAAATTGCTCTGTCTCGCGCGGCTCTCTGCTCTCTGCTCCCTGCACCCTGCACCCTGCACCCTGCACCCTGCACCCTGCACCCTGCACCCTGCTCTCGGCTCCGAGCCGGTTCGCTGGAAAATGTTCAATTGTTCCACCCACGAACGCGAATCGCATTGTTTCGCGACGCGGTTGTCTCTGTTGCTCGGTTCGGCCGTCTTCGGGCGCGTTTACATTGACTGCAGGATTATTTCTCCGCAGTGTTCGCGAATCGATGAACGAAGGACGACTCTCCCTTCGCCGACAGGTAATACGCGAAACGCGTTATCTCGGCGATTCGGGGGAAAAAATCGAGGAAGATTTCTGTCCGACCGGCGTCGTCTCCGTTCTACAGTAATGTCTCTCTAATTGACGCACAGATTGTCCACAAAAATGGACAATTTAGGGAGAAGAGAGACGATTATTCGAGCCTTGCTGTTCATTTTTATAGTCACGAATCGTCGACAACTATAAAAACGAGCTGCAAGGCTCGAATAATCGTATCTCCCCTTCCCAAATTGTCCATTTCTGTGGACAATATAAGCGTCGGTATGGGAGACATTACTGTACTTCGAAGTTGTAGACCGGCGGACCCGCGGATTTTACCAATTTTCGTGCAATTTGTAACACAGTGGGAGAATTCGAAGGATCGAAGGACAGGCCGGTGTCGAGTTGTCGTAGCAATGGAAGATAGAAATCGTTTGCTAGAAACGCGGAGAATTTCTGCTTCGCGTAAAGATCCGCGGTCTAATTAAATCGGACGCGGCGCGGCTGGCGACAGAACCGCGGGTATTTCTGGGATCCGGTTGGTAAACAGAGCATATCTGACGTAAGATTGCTCGACGGGGCCCTAAACGAAGTCGGATCCTCCTCCGGCGGATGGGCTGATTCGATTAGGCCGTGGATCCGAGCGACTCCTGACAGTGACATTAAATGGCCTACGAGCATCGAGGCCGCGCGCCACCCTATCGCATCGCATTTCCGTGACTGATCGACCAAACAGTTAAGCTGCTCGTAAACGCGAGCTTCTCCACGAGAGCGAGAGACACCGAGAGAGGATATTCGGAACGGTCGTTCCGACGATCGCGAACAAACGCGATAAAACCTGTCCGACGCACGCGACAATCGTAATATTTCCCTGGGATCCGGCCGATCCAACGCGATTGTTACGACTTCTGACAACGCGGCTCGGCTTCGACGACATTTCCGGCGTTCGCCTGCCGTCTACAGAAGTTTCGACGCTTCGGGACGAACGACGTTTTAATTTCATCCCTCGTTCGACGGACGCGGAGAGTCCCCGTTTCTGTAATTTTTAGATTCTATTCGAGACTCTGTACACAGTAATGTCTCCCTTACTGACGCTCAAAAATGGTGCGCGAAAATAGACAATTTGGGAAGAGGAGATACGACTACTCGAAAACCATGCGACTCGTTTTTATAGTTGTCGACAATCGATAACCATAAAAAACGAGCCACAAGTCTCGAACAATCGTATCTTCTCTTCCAAAATTGTCCATTTCTGTACACAACCTGAGCGTCGGTAAGGGTGACGTTACTGTATTCAGGTTTTAGCGCTTCGACGGAAGCTGACGCGCGTTCTCTTGCATAAAAAAACTAATAATTAGCACTTCGAGTTGTTTCAACGTTAAATTCAGAGTAGCTGTTCCAACCCACGGTTATATTTCCGTGTCGCACGAGACGCGGAACGACGTCGCGATAGAAAATTCGCACGGTTTCTGAACACGAGGTCGCGCGTTGGAGCTTTCAATAACCGTGTCCCGAAAATGAATTCGCGAAGCCGGCCGGATCGAAGGCCTCCGGGGGTCCCGGTCGACTAATGAGCGGCGATTAATCGGATCCAGTCGATTCGGTTCGAAAGCGCGAAGCTCGGCGGGCCGGCTCTCGCAGCTGGCCGCGTATTTATGGTAAAAAGACGATCGAGATTCCCCCGTCGATACAGCCGGCACAAGCGCCATGGATCCCCGCGCGCGTTTCCTCGTCGCGAACATCCTGCCCTTGCACGCCGCCGACCGAAAGCATCTCGCCGGATTATCGCCGGATTATCGCCGCATCATCGTCGTTTCATGAATCGTCCGGATGAAATATCGTTCGCCGACAGCCGTGAAACTATAATAAATAAATCGCTTTTCGCGGCGAATCGACGGACGGCGACGCTCTCTCGCTTCGGATATTCCCGGAATACTTTTAACTACGGATCAGCGACCCCGCGCGACCTTTTCGCGATCGTCGAGCTTCGGATGGTTTTCGAACCGTTGCGATCTTCGACGCGTCGTCGAAAACAGAATTCTGCGAGAAACATTGCGCTCCGAACAAGGAACAGGAACGAATTCGAGGATAAAGAGATTATTCCGATTTTCTTCGTGGTCGCGATGATCAGAAGTTTTCCCGATCGTAACGATTTCTAAGAAGAAAAAGGATCATTTCTATTCATCGTGCGCGTTCACGTTTACTCGATCGTTTAAACACTGCCGAGCAGAGATCGGTTTTTTATTCGGACCGAAGAGAACGGAATAGCATTCGCATTTTAACAGATTGTTGCTAGAAATCTCCGTCGCGTGTCGGACGCTTCGAAGTACGGCAAAGGGGTTAAAGAAAGATCGTCGAACGCGTATAACTCTCGACCGAGAGAAAATTCTGCAGGAGAAAATCGCGGTCCTGCGAGTTTCGAGACCAAAAACGCGGGCCGGTTTGCCTCTGACCGCATCGTCGAACGTACGAAATCTTCGACCGGCTGAAATTCCTTCGAAAAGAACATCGCTCCGCAAGTGCCAGGTCCAGGATATAACCACCGCTGTCTCGTTACCGCGATCGCGGTGGCTGGAACAGCTGGAACCTGCCGATGAAATCTGGCAGAACTGAAATCTGACCCGCGCGAGAGAGATATCGCGAGGGCCTTATCAAGGATTCCGGTGTACGGAGTGCCATTATCAAGATGATGAAGCGTCCCGCCGGTGAAAGGACCGTGCCTTCCAGGAGCCTTCACAAAGACAGCCCGTCCTTTTGTGGACCGGTTCGTTTCCCTTGATCCCGGCGCACTTTTGGCCGCCGGTGTATATGCGGCACGCGATTGTGCTCGCCGCGCCGAGCCGCGCCGAGCCGCGCCATTGATATTCATGCCGAGCGGAGCGTGCCAGAGCGCAGCAGAGCCGTTTCCCTATTTTCCCCGACGTTTTTTCTCTCTCGTCCCGACCCTATCAAACGCCGTGCCGGGGCCGGCCCGATTATATTTACGGGGCAGACGTCGCTCGTTCTCGTTGGAACCGACGCTGTCCCGGAGGAGAGCGCTCCGAGTCGCTCTAAAAAATGACTCCGGCCCGATGGCCGGG